GGCTCACAGAGAACCCCAGAGTGCTACTGACATTCAGAAGCTCTCGGGATGATATTTTCACCAAGTTTTGTTTTTGGTTTTATTTGGAAAAAAGAGTCAGGGAGAGGAACTGGCAAGTCAGAATCACCAGTGCACACCATAGTGGAAAGAACAATGGATTGGAAGTGGGGAAACCTGAGCTCATGGTTTTATTCTGCCACTAGCTCATTTTATGACCTTGGACAAGTCACCTCCCTTTCTGGGCCTATTGTCCCATCTTTGAAATGGCAGATTGTACCAGATGTTTTCTTCCAGATCATCTGAGACTCAGCTAGTGGAACAGTTCTGAAAGGGAAAGAACTATATGAGCAGAAATGAGACAGAGAGATGTGGCAATTAACAGTATGTGGATCAATGTGAAATGACAAAGAAAGGCAGAGAGCGGATTTATTAATGTTGAATCAACACTGACCAGGAAAGAAGATGCCCTAACACAAGTGTTCCAGTCCACTTGCTAGACATATCCTTATAATGGAGAAATGTCCTTCATTAGGGGCCCACAGTAGGATGAAAATATCCTTGCAGAATATCTAGTTACATTTGCTCTCATTCTTCTTCACAAAGGAATTTTATCATCTTGATCGGGTTTCCCTACGCGAAGAGGAATATGCTGACCTGCTGACAATGTTCTGGTCCACTTGGCAGTTACGGCTCTCATTCAGATTTATACTCTGACTCTCCTGCGAACATAGTTAGCAGGACTTATTCATAAGGCAGATTCACGAGGTCTGATCCATGAATTGAAAAAATCACACTCCTTGGCCTGCAAGGCTGAGAGTTAAAATTTAGCAGGATAGCAATCTCTGAATTGCCTAAAGCACAGACATGAATATTGGACGTGATATCTTTCACCTTGTTCTAAAGCATTCTGAACGCTCACGCATCCAAGCCTATATCCCTAAAGGGGATTAGTGGTGGCCCATAGCCATACTATATAGACAGAAACATTGGAAATACAAAGTATTTAACATTTCCAAGGCCTGCAAGGCTGCACCAAAACAAGTGTCTGGTGATTTCAAGACAAAGGATACTGCTCTCAGATATTGAATCTTCAGGAATTTCTACTGAGGGTGCAGCTCGGAGCTATTTCTCCCAAATTCCCATGAGTGTTTAACATCATTCTGCTAGAGCATAGTGGGAAGCTCAGCGGAAATGGGCACAACCTCTCTTGCTATGATTTTTTGGATCCCTGTCCCATTATCTTCCATAGCCCCAGAAATAGCATCTGGATAGAAGGGCGGGGGGGGAGGTAAGAAGGGGACGAGGGGGAAACCTACAAGCTCTCACTTCATTTCCAGACAGCTGTAACAGCCTCCTGTGCTCTTCTCGTTCTCCTCCTCCCCCCACCATTCTCTCCTGACTTCTGATCCTTGTACACAGCTACCAAAACCGTTATCCATTCAGACGCCATCTTTGTCACATCGCTACCTTACTCTGGTTGTCTCTTGGCTTGACCTGGCATTCAAGACTCCATGATCTGCCTGCTCACTTTATCCCACTTTCAGCTGTCAGTATTTTATTGTAGTGTTCCCTATTATGTATGCTCTAGACAAGCTGAACTGCGTGCCACCCTCAGCACATGACTTCCTAATTCCCACTTCCACCCATTTTTTTTTACCCATGACCACCTTCAAAAATTTCAAATTGCACCTTCTTCAAAAAAAACTTTCCCAGATAAATCTCATTCCTTATTCTAAGTCTCTACAAGAATTACACACATCTGCAGTTTGCAGTACTTTTTTCCCCCCACAGTTGTTAACATAGTTCTGATAATTGTGCTCCTGCTGTAAACTGGTCCATTTCTGCAAAACAGTTTGGAGCTATGCCCAAAAAACTATCCACATAGCCTTCCTTCATTCCAGCCATACTGTTACTGGGTCTTTTCCCCAAAGAGGTCAAAGAAGAGGGGAAAGACCCATGTATGCAGAAATATTTATAGCAGCTTTTATTGTAATAACAGGGAATTGAAAACTAAAGGAATGTCCATCAATTGGAGAATGAACAAATTATGATAGATGAATGTGATGGAATACTATTGTGCTGTAAAAAATGATGAAGGGGTTGGTTTCAGAGAAACATGAGAACATGTGTATGAACTGATACAAAGTGAAATGAGCAGAACCAGTAGAATCATTTATATGGTTTTTATTGTATTTGCAGTATTTACAACATTGTAAATATAGTCAACTTTGAAAGACTCTAATCGACACAGTGACTAACCATAATTCCAAAGGACTCATGATATCCAGACAGATAGATGATAGACTCAGTGCAGATTGAAGCATAATTTTTTTCTTTTATAAATTTCTTTCCTTTTTTGGACACAGCTAATGTGGAGATTTGTTTTGCACATCTATACATATTTGTAATCAATTTTGTTTTTTTGACCTTCTCAGTGGGGAAGAGAGAGGGAAGTTGGAGAGAAAATTTAGAACTGAAAATAAAATTGAATTATATCTGTGTGTATGTGTGTACACAAACACGTAATTGTGCTCTCATTTTGCACGTATGTTTTTTGTTTTTCCTAACTACTCATTATAGGGATAAGGGGTTTATCTGTGTCTTTGATGGCACTTCATAGCATCTAGTACTGGGCTAGACACAAAATAAGTGCTCGATAAGTGCTTATAATGAGCTGGCTGTCTTTGTTGGCAAGTAAATGAAGATTACTGAGGTCAAGAATAAGAGTTGTGGGGGCAACTAGGTGGCACAGTGGATAGAGCACTGGCCCTGAAGTCAGGAGGACCTGAGTTCAAATCTGGCCTCAGACCAAACACTTAACACTTCCAAGCTGTGTGACCCTGGGCAAGTCACTTAACCCCAATTGCCTAAAAATAAAAGAATAAGAGTTGTATCCCTCAGGACACTGGATGAGAGAATCTGGGGGATTCTGGACAGTGTTCCATAAGGACACTTCTGAAGTCTTAAAGGCACAACTACCAGATTGTGAGCTCCTGAAGGCCAAGGACCATGTCTTACTTAATTTGCTATCTCCTTCATCACAGGGCTTATTACATCATTTTGTTGTTGTTTTGCTGAATTAATAAATGAATGAAGCAAACTGGAAAGTACCTTAAAGGACTGTTTAGTTCAACCCCCTATAATTTTGTAGATGAAGAAATCTGAAGGACAGACTGTTACTGGTGCTACTTGGCTAATGGCGAAGCTCAGACTATAATCCAGGTCTCTCCTAGCTTGCTACTCTTCCCACCATACCAGGTTGTATAGCAGAGGTATAGGGAGAGATCAGGTGAAATATAGTAACAGGGGAAAATGGTAGCAAGAATAGAATAAGTAGAAAGAAGGCCTTACTGACCCCTGGTTTTATAGTTCACATTACCATTGGTTCTTTCTGATGAAACTCATCCAGTATTTACTAGAGAGGATTTCATTGCTGATTGGTTCGTAGCTTGAAACTGACTCTTTTTCCCTCTGGGTTTTACTAGTCCTCAGTTCAGCAATTTGTGTGTGCATTGCTGTCTATGATATGCAGTGATGGTGATATGTAGGTTACTGTAAAGGTGTTCATAATAAGCCTTTGAGATGTGGAGGCTGCACAGAAGACTTCTCATCCACCAGAGCAAGATTAGAAAAGAAAAGATAGCTAGTACAAAGGTCATTTGTAAGCAAGCAGAGGCAGGGGAGAGATGCAGTCCTTGTTTGTTTGGTTTTTTTTTCTTTCCTTAAGAAGATTGCAAACATTTAGTTTCACTTGTGGCTTAATACCCTAGTGATAGATTCAAGCCCTTCTAAACTAAATAGATTTCAAATTTGGTATGATCAGGATCATTGTTTAAAATTTATTTTAAAGTGGCCTTGGTTATAGCTAGTATATTGCTCTTTTTTGCCTATTACTGGAAAGAAAAACAAAATTTTGCTTCATGTATGTAACAGAAAAGGGGTCTTTTTCACCTCATTTACTGGTTAGTTTTAAACTTGATTTTAAGCAATTAGGTTTTCCCGTTGGGAGATACCTTAGAAGGAAATTGCTGAAGTATCAGGTATCATTGGCAAACCATGGCATATGTCCCACCCTCTCACTTCTGTCAACCAACATAAGAGACTTAAGTCCAGGTTTCAGGCTTGGAAGGTCCCCCCAAATTGTAGTTTTCTTAATCAGGATTTGAATGTTGGTAAAAGCTCTGTGGCCAAGGATTTGAACCCCCACCTACAAAAGTAAATAAAATAAAGCTTGTATCCTAAGAACTGAAATGGGATAGTACTGAAGAAGGGGGAGAGAAAGGAATATATACTGTGACTGTGGGATTCTGAGCCATCCCAAGCCCATTTGTAAGATCTCTATGAATCATCCCTGAAAGCCTGCAACCTTGCAGCTACACAGTTTGGACATATGGCAGCACTGGCCATGCAGAAAAGTGAGATAATTCAGGCTTTGCTAGTGTGGCTTTCCAAGCCAATAAATTACAAACAGTCCACTTTTTTTTGTCAGCCCTTTGAAGGAGATCCATCCAGAAATCAGAATCCACTTCCTGTGTCTATTCTACCTATAAGGAATATGATTCTATCTCTAAAGAACTGATTGAATCATTCTGTCTATAGGGAATCCTTCTATCTATAAGGACAGATCTGTAGTCAGCTACTTCCTTTTCGACGCCAATAAAAAATGAACCTTCCCAAGGGAATATGTTTGGAGCTTCTTCGTCTGGCTACAAAGGACCCTAGGATGGATATCCTAGAGAAACCTTAGAAGATATCTAATCCATTCCCCCTCATTTTACAGATAAACAAATGGAGGTCTAGCAACTTTATGAGACTTACTTGTAATCAAAAAGTTTCAACTGGTATTTTTTTAATTATTCAGTGTCACATGGTTAATAAATATCAGAGCTAGGATTGGAACGGAAGACTTTTGACTCCAAATTTAGCACTATTCCCACTGGCCCAGGACTTTGACCAGTTGCTGAGCTGTGTCAGTACAATGTCACTTTTTTCTCTTTCAGTGACCATGCAACAGGTGGCGAAGACTGTGGCTAAAGTAGAACTCTCAGACCATGTATGTGATGTGGTGTTTGCACTCTTTGACTGTGACGGTGAGTAGTGTCCCTTGGCTTTGGTGGAAAAAAACATCTGCTTAATGATGGTGCAGCATACGTTGTTTGTAAGGTAACCTTGCAGACGGCTTTTAAACTTAACTGGCCCTGGACCACTTCTACCTTCCTCCTCCCCTCATCCCAAAATTAAAGCCATCAGTAGTAATGGTCTCAAGAAATCCTAACCCTATGGCTGGGCTTTTCAGACTCAAATTCGATTTGCCTGCAGTCTTTTACGCCACATATTTTTACTCTGAGCACCTTACAAGCCAAAACAGAAATAGGAAACTCAACTTGCTTCTTATTAAGATTAGGAGCTCACAAGAATTTGGGAGTTTCTAGGGGAGAGGCTAAATACTAGTTTGTTCAATAATGCAGTAGAATGATTCACAAGATGCCTCATCTCCAGGGACTCCATTGAGTTTCTGCACTTTCACTGGGGGACCCCATGCTTGGAATTCTACCCTCATAGCCATCTATCTCCTGGCCTCCCTGCCTTCAAGTTCCAGCTAAAATCCCTCTACAAAAAACCTTTCCTGGTCTTCCTTGATGTTAGTGCCTTCCCTCTGAGATTATCTCCAATTCATCCATTATATATCGTTTGTACATAGTTGTTTACATGTTATTTCTCTCCTTGAGAGGAGAGACTGTAGTCTTCCTATCTTTGTATACCCAGCATTTGGCACAATGCCCAGCACTAATAGATGCTTAATGACTGACTGTAATGTCCTGTTTTCCCCTTCCACTGAATGGTCCTGTCATATCCGTGGACATGAGACTGTCCACTTCCCGGCTCCACTATGGCATTATCATTATATGGTAACAGTTTGGTTTCAGCATGGACCTGCCTCTCTAGTTATTGTTTGAGTCAGTTAGGATTCAAACCATAGACCTTCCTCCAAAGATCATGGCTAGTGGAACTCTCAGTTTTTCTGTGTTCTTACTGTCTTGGTTGAGTTTACATTGAGAGCTAAGAAGAGTTGAAGTCATAGTGTCTGCTGCTAAGCCAAGACTTTACTTCTGGAGAGGGAATGGGAAAAAGGTGAACATCCCTCTACTTCTTGGCATGATAGCACCATATCTGATAACATGGAAGACACGCCAGGTTTTCAGCAGTATGTCTAGACTGAGACATTGTTGGAAGCCACGATCTATTTAGCAGCAGAACCCCATCTTTTACTGTTAGAGCACCATTCAATTTTCAGCCAATATAATCCTGGTAATAGAATGATAACCATAAATCTTACTTCTTGGGTGGAAGGGAAAAACTTTATCAAATGAAATTTTTCAAAATTCAGCTGGAGATGCATAACAAAGCCATCCTCAGAAGTGACTCTTGACCTGTGTGCTGTACAGGTTTTCGATGCAGGAGATCTATAGAGACCAATGAGAGAAAGGGTTCTTACTCAGAGTGAACTCAAGATCTTGGACAATCCAGTTCATGAGGGAAGTCATCCTTTGGGATTTGTGGATGCTGTTTCTCTTTGAATCTGAAACTCCAAAAATAAATTCAGGACCTCGAAGTCTTACTTTGACCCAGAAAAACAAATCAAATTTCCAACAGGTACCAGGGCTTCCCTGCACAGATCCTGGACTTAGTGTAGCCCTGAACCAGGGTGGGATTGATTCCAGAGGAATAACACCATGAACCAAGGATACAATCTTGACTTTGAAGTGTGAGCCCCAAACCTATGGGCCTCAGCAAAAATACTACTGCTGTTGAAGGAAGGGTCCAGAACTTTCTGCCCAAGAAACCCAGCCCTCACCTAGAGGATCCTTGTGGTATCAGTATCCCTCTCATGAAAGATAAACTGTCGCCGTTTCCACAAATAAATGAGCAGCCGCTGCTCTCTGGGCTTGATGCCTGACTGCTGAGTTCACGTCTCTCCTCTGAGTCATGATACTCCCCAGGCAGGTGCCATCAGAAGCAAGTCCTGTGCCTATGCCCAGAGGAGGCCTAGAGGTTAGGTTGTGAGATGGGAGCTTGTGATGCAGCCTGACCCCTGAAGACCTTTTGGAAGCCAGCTTTGTCCCAGACTGTTATACCCCAAACTGGTCACTTAACCTTTGACCTTCAGTTTGCACCCATGTCCCACAAGAGGGTTAGGCCCCTTTCAGCCCAAAAATTCTGGGACTTTGAAGTACAAAATCAAAGATTACCTCTTTAAGGATCTAAGAGATTATCTAGTTTAACCACACTTACTGGACAGATTAGGAAAATGAAACTCAGTGTTAAATAGGTTGGGGAGAATCGACACTCAGACGTTTGATTTTGGTTTTGAGTGTCAGTTACAGTTAGAAACATTAAGGGTGATATCATTTGGTATTTCTAGGTAGCCCTGAGACAGTTCTACACAAACCCCACCCCCACCCCACAAGGGACATTGAGATTTCCTGCTCTGGGAGCCTCCAGTAACACCATCTGTTTCTCTTCCTCTAGGCAACGGGGAGCTGAGCAACAAGGAGTTTGTCGCCATCATGAAGCAGCGGCTCATGAGAGGCCTGGAGAAGCCCAAGGACATGGGCTTCACCCGCCTCATGAGGGCCATGTGGAAGTGTGCTCAGGAGACTGCCTGGGACTTTTCCCATCCCAAATAGTGACCTGAAGCACCTGGAGGGTGCAGGCTACCCCAGCAGCTTGTGTGCCCTCTGGCATGACTGACTGGGGGTGGAGAAAACCAGCCTGGTGCCCCTGGAAGTACTGCTCATTCCCTTCAGAGGGCTGAACCCTGTCAACCCTGCCAGCCACCTTTCTCCCCTTTTCCCAGGACTTAATCAACACAAGGAGTTCTCTTTCTGCCTCCTTCACTATCCGCCTCCCCAGGAAACCCCCCATTGTCTATGTTGCTGGCCCTTCCTCTGTCACGTAATCAGGATTTTGATGGATCGAGGCTATGGAGGGGCTATGAGCAGGCCTAGAGTTTTGAGGGCAGCAGTGAGACCGAGGAAGCTCCCCCAGAGGAAACATTCAATCCTCCATTTCTTTCCTGCATTGCTTTTACCTTCATGAAATTTTTTAAAGGAAGTTACTTGCTTTTCCCCTCACTCATTTTTTTTTAAGACAACTCCATATTGGGGGAAACTCTGGCCAGCAGTGCAAGTATCTGTGACCAGTGGCAATGAAGGAAGCTTGGTCACTGTCGAGGGGTTTGGCCACAGGAAGAATTTGTTTTATGCTCCAAGCTGACTCACTCTCTCTGTCTTGCCCTGAGGAAGTAATCTTCACCAAGAGGAAAAACCCAGCCCCACTGAGCTCCTGATCTGTAACCAAGAAGGGATGAAGAGTATTGGGCCTACCTCCTGGGCTTCTCGGGAAGAGTCAGCAATGATGCTTGACTTAATGAGCAAAATTCGTTGTCTGTGTCCTCTCTGCTGCACCACTTCGATTATTTTCCCATGGGGAGCTATGGAATGCTGCTTCTCCACAACAGAGGCCTAGATCAGGATCCCTATCTGTCCTTGGTCTTAAACTCTTCTAAAATATCACTTTAATTATACCAGTTTGCAATGAATTCTACAAGAGCTCCTGTTGCCTTCTTTCTCCCCACCCATGCTTCACCAGGTTTGAGTCCTCTGCTGTTAACAGGTAGTGACTGACCGACACAAGTGTCAGTGTGCCGAGGAGGGGGCAGGGACACAGTGTGTGGAGGCCGCTTGGTCTGGGAGCCCAAACCTAGATTCCAGGCACAGCCTCCCCACCAGCTACGTGACTGAGGCCCAGGGTTCTTAACCCCTTGGGGATTTTTAGATAGATTTCAGGAGGGTCACTGAACTTGGATAGAAAAAAATGACATCTTTATTTTCACTACCCTCTAATTAAAATGAATCATTTTCTTCAGTTACTTAGAAAGATGATTCTGAGAAGGGTTCCAGGGCTTCACCAAACTGCGCAATGGATCCATGAGAACCTCTGCTTCAGACAAATCATTTTACCTCTAGGCCTCTGTTTCCTCATTTGTAAAATGAGGGGATTGGACTAGATTTGCTCTAAAGTTCTATAATTCTATCATGGATTGGGATTTCCTTCAGCTTCCATAGAACCTCAGCTAATTCGACCCATGTGGCCATGTATGATGGTCTGTGTAGATAGGCCTTGTATGCACAATCCAAAAGTATGATGTGTAAGACAGTCATTACAATGCAGAGCTCACAGAGTGAGCATCTGTGGGCAATGAGCTCTTTTATCAAAAAGACAATAAAGTCCTGCAGGGATATTGGTGGATCAACAAGGAAAGTCTCTGCTAACACCAACATTTCCCCTGAAATAATTTGAAAGTCTCAGTTCTAGCATCCTATCCTGGGTCATATTAGATCATTTTCTAACCTTTCTTTTTTCCTGAGGTCACCATACTTTCTAATCCTGTCCATTCTTGCTTCCTCCACACTGAGAAATTGTAACTTCATCTATTTGAACAACTCAGGTAAAGACTGCCCCTCCCATCCAGCCCTGTATGGGACACAAGGTAAGCAGGAGTTTCACCTAAGTTTCCATAGTTCCTCTTGTCCCCAATTTCTCCTCCCTGCCTCTTTACCTCCAGCGTGGCAGAACAGGATTCTTGGAGCAGATAAGAGATGTAGAGACAGAAGATGAATGAGAAAACTTGCTGAGCTGGGTTGGGTCCTCTGAACCTGAAAGCCCAAGAGTAGAAAGGGTACCAAGCTCCAGAAGCCAATACCAAGAAACGTGTTAAGTGCCCCATGCTCTCAGACCTTACTGATGCACTGATCAATTAGGAAACCAGAGAAGACCTCCTCCTTCAGCAAACCTAAGTCGTGGGCTTCTATTCTGTCATCTTTCTGATGCAACCAAAGTGCCCCTAATCTGTGCCCTCCGTTGGCCCCCTTAACACTGGGGGTGGAGAAAATTATGGCATTAAGGCAAAAGATTTCCTTCCTCGGTTCACCTGATGAGGGGAAAGAATTAGGTGTTAGACCAAAGATAGAAAGGTAAGGACCAACCTTCTGTTCCTTCTGCTAGGAGGCTAAGGGCCACAGTGTAGCCACCACTCCATACGTTCTACTTCCTAGCACTTATGCCTTGGAGAAAGTGCAGAAGTCAAACGTCAAATGAGAAAGGGTATGAGGACAAATTTAAAAGGCTTCGCCTCTTCAGTCTGGAAGGATAACGGCTGTAACCAGATCTCACGATCATGAACGTAGAAGGGACCTTGGGTATCATCTAGTCCAAGCCCTTCGTTGTACATAGAGCTAAGGAAACTGAGGCCCAAGGAGATTGCAATTATGACTGGCCCCTGTCAATAGAATAAAAATAGTATTACCAAAGTTTCTCTACAGATTTAGTACTATACCAAATTATTATTGTTTGGTTGTTTCAGTTGTGTCCAATTCTCCGTAACCCCATTTGGGGTTTTCTTGGCAAAGATACAGGAGTGGTTTGCCATTTCCTTCTCCAGCTCATTTTACAGATGAGGAAACTGAGGCAGACAGGGTTAAGTGACTTGCCCAGGGTCACACAGCTACAACGTGTCAGGCCAGATTTGAACTTGGGTCTTCCTGACTCCAGGTCCAGCACACTCTATCCACTGTGCCACTAACTGCCTGTATACCTGATTACCAAAGAGTTACTTTAGAATTAGATAAAATAATTCATTTGGAGTGGAAGGAGTAAGACTAGGTTCTACTAAATCTAAAACAGTGCTTCAAAGCAGTAACCAAAACATTTCTAACTGAAAAGTAGACTGGGCCACACAAAAATGAGAGATCATGCCCACAGGCCTCAGGTTTGAGAGCCATTTACTCCTTCGTTCAAGAAGCATTTATTAAGCCAGGCACTGTGCTGAGGGGCTGTGACAGATAAAGAGACAAACAGGTCCTTCTTTCTTCAAGGAGTTCACGTTCTGTGGAGGAATCAGGTCCACAGAGAAGAAAATATATGTACAAAGAAATGGGGGGGAAAGGGGTTAACAACCAGGGGATTTGGAAGGATGTCATGGAGATGGCAACAGAACTGAGCCTTGAAAGAAGATAGGGATTCTAAGAGGCAGTAGGCCCCAGGACAAACTACTGAGAAAGGATGCTTTATCAGACCAGAACTTTTGGGAAAAACAGAAAACAGGTCAGCAACTATCACCTTGCAACACAACAAATTCCAAATGAATAAATGATCTAAATATAAATGTCACTGTTTTAAAAATTAGAGAATAAGTTACATATTTTACAGTTATGGATATAGAAAAACAACCTGACAAGGAATACTAAATATTATAAAAGGCAAAATACACAAAATTTAAAAGCTTTTTTGTGAATAAAATGAACAGGGCTAGAATCAGAAGAGAAGATATGGATGGAGAAAAAAATCGTATTCAATACTGATAAAAGAGTGATACTCAAAATCTATAGGAAATTGATATAAATATGTTTGAAAGCCATCCTCCAAAAGAGAAGTGGTCAAAAGAGATGGAAGAAGCAATTTTCATAAGAAGATGGAATCTATTTATATCCACCTCAAAATATGTTCAGTATCAGTGCTAATTAGAAAAGTGCAAATTAAAGCAATCCTGAGATATCACCTCATACCCATAAAGTTAGTGAAGATGCTAAAAGATGGCAAAACTGTTTGGAGGATTTGTGGGAAAACAGGCACAATAATTCCCTGCTGATAGAGCTGTAAATTGGCTTAGTTGTTCTGTAAAATAAATTGGGATTATGAAAGAAAAGTAACTAAATTATTCACACTCTTAGGCCCAGAGACTCCATTCCAGTGACTATAGCCGAAGGAGATTACAGGCAGCAAGAAAAGACCCATAGGTACAAAAATGTTCATTGCAGAGTTATTTATAACAACAAAGCTGAAAACAAAATATATATCCAATATTTAGGGACTGGCTGAACAAACTGTGGTATGTAAATGTGATGGATTATTACTGTGCCATACAGAAGGATGAAATTAAAGAAAGCAGAGCCAAGAGAACAATATAAAGAAATTATAATGCAAAGAAGGCTGTGGTAGAGGCAACAAAATTGTGGTCAAGTACAATGCCAGATGTTAATACCGAGCTGCCAAAAGTAACCTTCCTTTATGTTAACCATCACTAAACTGTTTTAGGGAGATTGTATTTTGTAAGGAGGCTTATTTGGGTATTTGTGAATTGTCAGCACAATTTTTTTTTAATGAAGGCTAAGAGTGGGGTCAGACTGAATTCTACAGAACCATGAAGATGTGGGCTGATGTGCCAAACATTTATTCAATAAATATTTATTGAGGCCCTATCATATGCAAGGTCGAATGCTGCCCACTTTGGAGTTTACCAAGAAGAATGAACAAATAATCTTCCTAATAAATAGGTCTGTACTCCCCTGATCAAAAACCGGGAGCAACAGTAGGGCTGGGGGGAGGGTCCCCTGTTGCCTGTAGAATAAAAGACAAACTCCTTAGCCCAGAATTTAATGTGCATCTCGATTCCCTTCGATGTACTCTATCTCACTATTGCTAAATTGAATCACTAATGGTTTCCCAATCTCATCCCACTGTCTCCTGCTTCTGTGTTCCTTGTTATCACTATTATTTTGGATGGCTTACAAAAGCCATCCAAATAAGAGTATTTAAGACAAAATGTCGCCTGGTTAGTCAGCCTTATTCTGAACAATCGGACTGATCTTCTTAAAACATTGTTACCATCATGTCATTTCTTTCCCCTACTCAAAAAATGAGTTTCTGTTTTCTATCACATCAAATGTAAATTCAGCCTGACTTTCACGTTCCTCCATAATCAGACCCCAAACTTACCTGTATAACTTTTCTTACCAGGCTCCCCACCTTATATCCTCTGTTCTGCTGGAATGTGTGTCCGGCCAGGGTGCTTCCAGTCTGCAGACAGGATGGGAAGTTCCCACCTCTGAATCTTCACTCATGTTTGTGCTCATGCTCTCTGTCCACCCTCTCCAGCCACCTATGCAAAGCCCAATACCCCATTTCCTCTGGGAAGCCTTCCCTTACCGCTTCAGCCCATGGCACTCTGAATTCCAGTACTGCTAGTTTTGATCACATAACTTGGCACCAATATTCTTACCTACGTATATGTAGATATATTTTTGACAAGGCAAAGAGACCATTCTCTGCCTCATTTCTTATTAAACCTTAATCACTGAATGGACATTGCCTCAGTCAAACTGAGACCTATTAAAGACCTATTAAAGACCGTAGCTTGAAAAGGCCTAGGTCCCCTGCTGCATTCTGGGCTGTCTCCAGTCATCCCGATCTATATGTTGCCACTGGAGCCAGGTGGCTCTAGAGGAGAGAGTGAGGCTGGTGACTTTGCACAGCCCTCCCTCACTGTAATCCAGTTCACTTGCGTATCATGGCATCACCTCCCTGATGCCTAGGTGCTCTTCGAGAATGAAGGACAAACAGCAACCTACCAAAGTCTCTACCATCACTTTCTCCTGAGGTAGGGAGCTGCCTAAAGCACTGAGTTCAAGACTTGCTGGGGTCTCATGGCTAGTCTAGGTCAGAGGCAGAACTTGAACTGGGGGCTCCCCGGCTCTGAAGCCAGCTCC